AAATTACCGAAAGAAATTATCTTTTAAATTAATCCTTTAGCTCTCATTTATTCTTTTATTAAATGTCTCATTTTTTACATTCTTCACTTTTAGCCTCTCTCATAATCAGACTATGCATTGTGGAGATAATCCTTGCCTTGTTGAACTTGCACACATCTGTGCTATGTGCAACGATTCTTCATTGGAGTTTAGCGAGGCCAAAAATTCCTTTGACAAAGTAGGCGAGGCGACAGAAGCTGCTCTCATTTGTTTGGTGGAAAAAATGAATGTACATGAATCATTTAAATCTAACTTTAAAAAACGTGATCTAGCCATGCTTTGCAACAACGTTATACGAGTAAGTAGCTGCCTTGTCTGAAATTTACCTCTAGCTTGTATCTTTTGCTTAATATTTTACTGCTAAATTAGATTGGTTTCCAAATTTATTCTTACTTTCTCTAGCACCTAATTGTTCTACCTCTATAAGGCCATTTTTCCTCTAGCCCATATCCTATTCGAGAAGTCTTGCCCGCCTATTTTAGATGCTTTTAATTAAAAGCAAGCCAAGTCAATCAGTTAGTATTCTACTTACATTTTTTCTCCTATAAGCTTTGTTGCACACTTCGGAATATTGAATCGATGAGCTTTGAATAGTTCACTAAATATTTAAGGGTAATTCAATCCTATTTTCCAACTTGATAATGAGGCTTAGATTTCCCTTGCGGATTAGGCTCGATGCTTGTCTTACCTGAGTTTTAGAGTTGTTCTTTATAACTTCTCCCACATTTTTATTACTAAAAAAGCGATAATTTTTTGTACATTCCATGACATTTATTTTTGTAGTGATTTCATTCCTTTACACAGATAGCGCATTATTCTTGCTCTGTCGTCCTTTATTGCCAATGCGTTTATTTATATTAAACTATTTTTCATACTATACTAACAAGAGTGAAATATCCATAAACTAAACAGACTCGTTATTCCATTACTCATGTTTTTTAATTAACTCTTTTTTTTCTATTTAGGGAATGTATGATAAGGTATTTACACTGGAGTTTTCTCGTGACCGTAAGTCTATGTCCGTTTATGTGAAGAATAGAAAGAATGGCGAGG